TGGATGCTACTTCTACCATGGGAACTTTTTTCAGTCCAATGAAATCCCTTTTTAATTGTTTGGTCTCTCTGTTTGCTTCCTTTCTTGTTGGCTTGATTTTTGCTGAGAAAAATGTAAAACTTCATTGGCCTTTTTGGGAAGCTTAACATCTTCCCAAAGTGGCTCCTCTAAGACTTGTTCTTACTTTTACTTCACTCCTCCTTTCTTCTGTCACCTTCAATCTTCCATCTGTTTCTGTTTTATCATTGATATCTTCCCCTTCAAGCCCCTACCACTTCCATTTGGTGGTCAGTAGATGAAAAATTACTAAGAGGAAATTTCAGAATTCTTCATACCACATAAAGAGATGTAGGGGATACCTCTAGCAACACAGGGACCCTTGAGGAACATAAAAAAGGTACCACAGACCCTCTTTGTGGGGTCTTCTATCTTCCTCATGGAACCCCAAGAGTAGTAGGTGTGTTCCTCTAAGGTCTGAAGCTCTGCTCTCTTTTACATTGAGCTCCCTGATATCTTGGGCTTTTGGTGGTATTGAGGGTTACTTTATACTGTGAGAGAACACCTGATCTTTAGTGTGGGGTAACCAATCACGGGCAAGAGGCTACAATTTTAAAGGTAACTGACAGCAGTTGCAACGAATGATTATTACTGCAGAGGACTACTTACTTCTTTGTGCTTTTGGGTAAGAAAAGTCTCAGATTTCTGACAAACAGAAACTGATGGTAAATGGCAATTTGTATAAGAAAAGTCATTGGCTAGGTTGGTTGGGGGATATCTCAGAGCCAGGGCCACAACCTGATGATAGGTGTGGTTTGGGCACTTGGAGGCTGTGGGAGCTTATCACCAAGCAATAGAACTAGGGATAGGCTGGCTACAGAGTGGGCTGGCTGGCTGGCATTGGGTCACCCACCAGCATGGGGGGATATCCCTACAATGAAGTACACTGTAGGAGTGTTGAACAGGCTAGCCCCATGATGTTTCCCTCTTGGGCTTTTGCCTCAGCTTGGGGGACCCAGGATTCAGTGTAGGAATAGGATCCTTG